GGCGGGGGCGGCCAGCAGTCGTCGGAGGCCGGGGAAGCGGGCAGTGCCGGCCCGGGGTGAGGGCAGGGCAGGGGAGGCGAGGGGAGAGGCCGACAGGGTGCCGCGGCCAGGTCGTCCCTGCTGGAGCGGTCTGTGCTTTAACCCAGCCCGTGGGGGTGACTCGTCTCTCCTCCACGGATAACCACGTCCTTCTCTCCGATCGTTTCACAGCCTTATCTGCGAGTGAAGAGTCTGAATTCAGCTCAAATTGCTTTTTAGTCGCCGTGTCGCGAATTCATCTGAATGACTGAATCCTGCCTGCACGGGCGTTGCTTCCAAGGCTGGCTGAGCTGCAGGGGTATGGCTTGCACACCGTCCCGCGGGCATTCGCTGCCTGGCGCTGGTCCCCTCGGGTGCAGCTCGCTGGGCTGTGCTGACCGCGCTCACCCGTACCCTTAGGGTGCCACCCCGGCCCTGCCAAGAACCCCTCTTTAGGCACACACAGGCGAGAGAAATTTTATTTATGAAAGATGTTTCAATGAAAATTTCTTAAGAGTCGAAAAAGACGATGCAAGTTTACGGCGGAAACGACTCAAAATGTAACAAATTGCACAAAATATTAACACTGATCATACAATATTTCAAAGATTAACAGGCATGTGCTAAAGAAACTGTAGAGTCTAGAAATATCCCAAATATACCTAGTTTACAGATTGCTGTACAAAAAAGCAGTTATAAATACTTCACATCTAGAAAAAATACACAGAACCTTTGAAATAGACTTTCCCTTACATATAAACAACCTTTGTAGAAAAAACAAAAACACCCAATAGAGGCCAATCCCCCTGCTCCTAGATATGTTTGAACTAGTACTGGTTAGCACCAACAGCTCCTTTAGGTGTGTCACAAACAGGAGTTGAGCTGCGATTTTTAAAAAGAATTTTAGCGTTTACAATTTAATTAAGACCAACCGGGGACTACAAAAGATAACACAATATGGCACATTCATGATTTGATAGGAAGTGAGTACAGAGGAGGTGGAAGCAGAAAAACTATGTTGCAGCCAGAAGTAAAGGGCGGTTTGTGTAGGTCTCTCACAGAAGACTCCCATTTGTGTCAGCAGTGAATTACTTTGACCCTGATCTTGCAAACAGTTGTGCACATGATTGATGAAGTCAATGCCAGCAGTATCAGGCCTTTTAATCTATTCATTTTCTTGCCATGTCAAAAGTCAAAACCCTTTCGAAATAAGACACCTGTTGTGAAGTTGTAATAACTGAAATGCACATTTCCCTAGAACACCTGCATGAATTGCACTAAAAATAAAATATGCTTTGTAAAAGGGAGTCCAAGGAAGTTTATTACAGACAATTTGGCAGGCTCAGGTTTATGGTAACGCAGTGTTTCTACATACAGTTTTAAGACTAGAACAATTATAAATCTTTTTTAAAAAATCTACTAACTTTTCTTGTTAATATTAACATCAATTTCTTTAAGTTAGTAATCTGCCATTACAGGAGCATAGCACCAATTTAATATTTATTGCTGTCATTTATCCCTACAAATATATTTTCCCAAGATATTTACAACTGTACAAATATTCACAAAAGTGCAAAATTAAGACTTTATTCTGTGTAACCGTTGGTTGCGTTCGGTGTTGAGTCTCGCGCATCGCGATGTCTGCCGTCTTGCTCTTCTTATTGCTGCGTGGTGAGACGTCGGACCGCCCGCTGCGAGCAGAGCGATCCGGAGTGAGAATTTTCAACAACCGTCCCTTCTCCCCCCTCGCTCCCCACTCGCCTTCAGCTCCCTTACGGGCCGCGGTCACGGCCCGCTGGAAGGTGTCTCTAGACATCGTTGGAGCCTTGGCTGGCGCAAGAAGAGAAGCTATCGTAGAGAGAATCGCTCAAGGATTCTAAATTCTCCACGTCGTGCCTACCCGAGCTATTTAAGGAAGCTTCTTCTTTCCTTCCATTTTCTTCCTTTTGTCCTTCAACCTTGTTCAGACAGTTCTTCTCTTTTTCTAATAGAAGTACATTATTGCTGTTAAATTTATTGAGAGACTCCAGGGAAATTTTAGATAATCTATTCTGGGAATCCTCTTTTGTTTCTTCAGTTTGCTTCAATTTCTGTAATAAGCAAAGGAAATATTAGAAACATATTTCTTACAAAATAAAGTTATCCTACTGCACACCATTAATTACCATCTTCCCAAAGTTCACAGGGTTAAAGGAAATAGATTGTTAGATGCTTAAATATCTGCTATAATTCAATAGAACATTAATGTCCATTTTCGGATAATTCATAACTTTAATGATTCTGCTGAGACAAATAGGAATCCATTTACAAAAAAGTTAAGTGCTATTAACGCCTGAAGTGGCAGATCCTGGGTGTGCATGTGTTAAGCATCTTCACAGAAATTCACATCTTCTCCTTTCAAATACTTTGGGGGTATGTTTAAACGGGTGTCTGTTTACTTCAGTGGAGTTTGAGTCTGCTAAAAAAAAAGGTGCATAGACGTGTTCAGAGGAGAAAATAGTATTTTCCATAAATTACAGACGCAAATGAAACTTGCTAGAGAACGACCTCACATTTTGCGTGTGTGAGCCTATTGATTTCCACGGACCCACACCCTCTCTAATAGGCAAGGTAGCAACACGACAGGAAATTATACTGAACTGGGCCAACCCCCCCAGACCAGAATCAATCAGATACCGGCCAGGCCTACCCGCAGAAGTGGTGTCGTTCTGCGGGAACACCGGACAAGGTATTAGCACATCATATTAAAAACACACAGTAGGATTACACAAGAGTAATTTTATCCCTTTGTTAGCGCCTAGTATTCTCAATCAGAGATCTGACCAAGGAATAGTTAGGGAACTGTGCAGGGAGCAGGTCGATAAAAACGGCCTGCCGTTCATAGGCAGGGTGTTTCAAAATCTGTGTAACTAACTCCTCTTACAGATAGTATTATC